TCTTCTTCTGTAGAAATATTTTGGTTGTTGAGAAATAGAATCACAAAGTCAAATTGAGGTTGCTTAGATAAAAATATTATTATTGTTTAAGAAGTGGATCTGAAAGAAAAATTCATTTATTTTGCGTAGAAATATTATGGTTGTTGAGGAATGGAAGCACAAAGGCAAATTCATGCTTCTTCCGTAGAAATATTATGTTTGAGGAAGGGAAAATAAAGGAAATTTCATGTTTTCCTTAGAAATATTACGGTTGTTGAGGAAGAGAAGAACAAAGGAAATTCCATGCTTCTTACATTGAAATATTATGGTTGTTGACGAAGGGAATTAGAAAGGCAAATTCATGTTTATTCCGAAGAAATATTATGCTTGTTGATATATGGAAGCATTAAGGAAATTTCATGCTTCTTTCAATGCTTGTTTAAAAAGGGTTGTCGAGGAAGGGAAATATAAGGAAATTCTTTTCTTTTTCCGTAGAAATATTATGGTTTTTGAGATTGGGTAGTATAATGGAAAATGGCTAACCTCGACGTATTTTATTATAGAGACTTTACTGTTAGCTTATCCAATTCACTTGCTAGTCTCCCTTACCACAAGACAGTGACTTCTCACTAAATTCACGGTCGGCGACTGAAACGGTCGGATACACGCAGGCCCCTGGCCTTCGCGGCTAGGAACGTCGATCAACGGGCTGTGTATTAAGTTCCCTTTTTTTTTTGTCTGCCAACTTGACGATAGTTGGAAACTTTCCTTTCTCTCTCTCTCCTTCGCCTATTACTCCTGGCTCCTGTTCAACTCTCGGCATCCTGTCCCTACTGGCTGCCTGCACGTCGTCCTTAACCTTTCCCGTACACTATGTTAGTAATTATTACGGGAGGTTACTAATATTGGACTCGACCGGCAAACACGCAACGCCTGCACTGGACCTGTGACATGCCCGAACAACGCCAGCTCTTCTTTCCTTCCCAACACGTCAAGTTGGCATCCCGGCCGAGACCAACACCAACTTCAACAACCAACAGCGATGATCCTGCCAGCAACCAACAACAACAATCAACTTCAACAACCAACAGCGATCATCCCGGCAACAATCAACTTCAACAATCAACAGCGATGATCCTGGCAATAACCCACATCAGCTTCAACTCCAACAACCAACAGCGATCATCCCGGCAACAATCAACTTCGACAACCAACAGCGATGATCCTGGCAACTACCAACACCAACCTCGACCATCAATGTCTGCACTAGAACTTCTGCACCTCCACCGTTCCGACCACCTTATTTTTCTTTTCCTAAAATAAATTAGCATATATCATATATATCCTCGTTCTGTCGTCTATGTTGTTTCACCGTCAGATTTAACGTCTTCAAAAATGTTAGCGGGCCTCTCGTGACCTCATTCATCCTTGTGTGATACGGGGCCGCTCGGGGGCCCGCTACAAGCTCAAAGCCAAATTCCTTCTGTGTAGAAATATTATTGTTTTTGAGGAAGGGAAGGAGAGAGTAAATTCCGTAGAAATATTATGGTTATTGAGAAAGGGGAGATAAAATGCATTCTTAATCAATAGAACGATTATGGTAATGAAGGAAAGGCAGAAAACAGAAAATTTATGATTCGTGGATAGATTATTATTGTTAAATAAAGGAAGAACACAGGCATATTCATATGTCTACAGTAGAACCATTTTGGTTATCCTTAGAAGAAATATTTTTGTTGTTGGGGAATGGAATCCCAAAGGCTGATTTATGATTCATCAACACACATATTGGGGTCTTTGAGAAAGTGGAGCTAAAAGGCAAATTCATTCATCTTACGTAAGACGATTATGGCATTTGAGGAAAGAAAACAAAACAGAAAATTCATGATGGTTATGTAGAAAGATTGTAGCGGGGTACCAAATATATAAGTACTACTACTATTTATATTAATGATACTTCCACGTACAGAATAGGTAAGTATGCTCAGAACCAAAAGATTCAAAGGAACGACTGCGACGGTTAAATTGTCCTATACAAAGATAGTAGTAATTTATTAGCCAATCGCAGGCGAATAAAATGACTTAGAGTGTATGTGGGTTTGAAAAACATAGCAATCGCTATAAGATTATGGATAGTTGAAGAGAGAAAGCACAACGGAAAATTTATGGAGGTTCTGTAGAAAGAATATAGTTGCTGATGAAGGCAAGTACCAAGACAATTAATGCTTGTTCTGTAGAAAGATTATTATTGTTGACGAAGTAAAGGACAAAAGGAAATACATGCTTGTCCGTAGAAAGATAATGGTTGTTGAGGAAGGCAAGCACAAAGGCAAATTAATGCTTATTCCGTAGACATATTGTCGTTTTTCAGAAGGTGGAATTCAAAGGCAAAGTCATTCATCTTCCGTAGAACTCTGATGGAAGTTGAGGAAATGAAAGAAAACGGAAAATTCATGATTGTTGCGTAGAAAGATTATGATGGTAGATTAATATAAACAATAAGATGATTCATGATTCTTCCGTGGGAAAACTTTGGTTGTTGAGGAATTTAAGCAAAAAGGCAAATTCATGCTTCTTCGGTAGAATTTTTTTTTTGGTTGTTGAGGAAGGGAATCACAAATGCAAATTCATTTTTATTGCGTAAAACTTTGATGGCAGATGAGGAAATGAAACGAAACAGAAAAATCATGATTGTTGAGTAGGAAGATTATGATGGTAAAGTAATGCAAACAGTAAGTCAAATTCATGGTTCTTCTGTAGAAAAAAGTTTTGGTTGTTGAAGAATGTAAGCTGAAAGTCAAATTCCTACTTCTTCCGTATACATATTTTGGTTTTTGAGATAGTGGAATTGATAGAGAATGTCATTCATCTTGCGTAGGGCGATTATTGCATTTGAGGAATGCAGCAAAACGTGAAATTCATGATTGTTGCATAGAAAGATTATGATGTTTGAGTAATGGAAGCACAAGAGCAAACTGATGCTAGTTCTGGAGAAAGCAAATTGTTGCAGATGAATGCAATCACAAAGGCAAATTAATGCTTGCTCCCTAGAAAGTTTATTGTTCTTTGGGAAGATAAGTAGAAATGAAAATACATGCTTGTCTCGTAGACAAATTATGGTTGCTGATGAAGGCAAACACAAAAGCAAAATGCTTGTTCGGTAGAATGATTATGGTTTTTGATAAAAATGAATGGCAAAAGGCAATACATACTTGTCACTTGTTGAGGAAGGAAAGGAGAAACGGACATAAATACATGTTGGTTTGACGGAAATAATATGGTTGCCGATGAAGGCAAGCACAAAGGCAAAATTATACTTGTTCCGTAGACAGAATATGGTTGCTAATGAAAACACCCCAAAGGCAATTCATGTTTGACCCTTTGAACAATTATCGTTTTTAATGAAGTGTAGAACAAAGGAAAATGTTTGTTCTGTAGAAAGATTATACTTGTTGATGAAGGCAAGCACAACGGCAAATTCATAGTGGTTCCATAGAATGATTATGGTTGTTGAGGAAAGAAAGAACAAAAGGAAATACATCTTTGTTTTGTAGAAAATTATGGTTGCTGATGTAGGCAAGCACAAAATCAAAATCATGCTTTTTCCGTAGAAAGATTATAGTTGTTGACAAAGGGAAAGATGAAGGGAAATACATGCTTTTTTTCCGTAGAAATATTATGATTGCTAATAACGGCAAGCACAAGTGCAAATTTGTGTTTGTTCAGTAGAAAGATTATACTTGTTAATGAAGGTAAGGTCAACGGAAAATAAATGCTTGTTCCGTAGAAAGATGATGGTTACTGATGAAGGCTATCACTATGGAAAATTTATGCTTGTTAATAGAAAGACTCTGGTTTTTGAGGAAGAGTAGCATAAAGGCATAATATGCTTTTCCCCTAGGAAGCTTAGAATTGATAAGGAAATAAAGGACAAAGGTCAATTTGATATGACGCATTACTGATATTGAGATTTGTGGAATGCAATCGCTAATTCATGCATTAACAGTGTTGAGAACTGTCAACGGAAACGTAAGTCCATGCATTTTGCTTTAATGGAAGTCCATGCAATTTGCATTGACACATTACCGATGTCGTGAATCGGGGACGCAAACGGAAGTCCATGCAATTTGCATTGACACATTACCGATGTCGTGAATCGGGGACGCAAACGGAAGTCCATGCAATTTGCATTGACACATTACCGATGTTGGGAATTGGGAACGGAAACCGAAATGCATTAATTTTGCAATGACGCATTATTGACGCTGAGAATTGTGTATGTAATCGAAATTCCATGAATTTTGCAATTGCACATTACCCCCATGTCGTGAAATGAGAAGGGAATCGGATATCCATGCAATTTTTAATGATGCATTATGATGTTGAGAATTGTTAACGGAAAGAGAAATTTTGCATTGACGCATTACCGATATCGAGAATTGGGAACTGAATCAGAAATCCATGCATTTTTTATTGACCCCCTAACCGATGTCGTGAATTGAAATCCATGCATCTTGCATTGATTCATTACTGATGTTGAGAATTGGTAACACAGTCAGAAACTCATGCATTTTGCATAGCCCTCTAAGCGATGTCGTGAATCGCGAACGCAATTGGAAAGACATGCATTTTGCATTGACACATTACTGATTAGGAGATTTTGAAATGCAATCGAAAATCCAGGTATTTTACATTGAGCTCTGACCGATGTCGTGAATTTTGAACGATGTCGGATATCCATGCATTTTATATTGACACGTTACCGATGTTGAGAATTGGGAACGCAATCTGATATCCAAGCATTTTACATTGACATATTACCGATGTTGTTATTTGGGAACGGAATCGAAAATCCATGCATTTTACATTTACCCCTAACAGATGTCGTGAATTGTAAACGCAATTGGAAATCCATCCATTTTAAATTGACGCATTGGCGATTTGGTGACATTGTGAAGGCAATCGGAAATCCATACATTTTGAATTGACCCATTCTCGATATTCTGAATTGGAAACGCAATATGAAATCCATGCTAATTGCATTCATCCCTGACACATGTGAATTGTGAACGCAATTGAAAATCCATTCACGTTGCATTGACGTATTACATTACCGATGTCGTTATTTGGGAAGGCAATCGGAAATTCATCCATTTTGAATTGACGTATTAGCGATTTGGTGACATTGTGAAGGCAATCGGAAATCCATGCATTTTGCATTGATGTATTGTAGAGAATTGGGAACGCAATCGGAAATCCATACATTTTGCAAAGATGCATTATCGATGTTGAAATTTGGGAAGGGAAATGTGATCCAGGCGTTTTCAATGACGCACTACTGAGAATTGACTATTCAAACGGATAAACATACATTTTGAAATGACGTATCACCGATGTTGAGAATTGTCAGCTGTAACTGAAATCCATTCGTTTTGCTTTAAAACGTTACTGCTGTGTTGAAACATGAATAGAAACGGAAATCTATACATTTTTCATTAACGCATTAACGGAAACTTTAATACATGCATTTTGCGCGGTTGTGAATTGTTAAAGCATTCAGAAATGTATGCATTTTGCAATAACGCATTACTGATGTTGAAAATTGGGAACAGAAATTGAAATCCAGGCATATTGGATTGACGCATTACTGATGTTGAGAATCAGGTATGCAAACGTATATCCACGCAATTGCAATAACGTCAACGGAAATGTTAATACATCCATTTTGGCCCAGTGAATAAATGTACTGGTTCGATCCAGTGACAAAACGCAAAGAGTTGTGAGTTCAATGCCATGCTACAGCAGTGGCGAGTCAAGATCTTGGAGAGTTGAATTAAAGGGAAATAACTGAGACATCCGGAAGAGGCATGACACGTGGAACTAGAACAATCTACCCCAGTGGATGAAATGAACAGTTCGATTCGAAATTCCAATCGCCTGAAAAGGGGCGAACTGTACAATAGCCGAAACGTTGTGAATATGGCAATGAAGATGAGGATAACAGCCCGAATAATGTAAATAATGTAATTAATGTAATAATCATATTTCTTCATCTCAGAGATAGAGGCAGGCAATATTTGATATATTCGTTTTTATATAACTGAGTCAAAAGAGCAAAAATACACAGTATAGATCCCAAATAATATATTAAAGTGTGTGTGTGTGTGTGTGTGTGTGTGTGTGTGTGTGTGTGTGTGTGTGTGTGTGTGTGTGTGTGTGTTCAGTCAGTAAAGGGAAATATATCCTCATACTCGGAAACAATGTCCCGGTGGTGTTGTCGCTAAAACATACAGTATGGAAAAGAGAGAGAAAGGAATTCGTGAATTTTCTTGTTTTTATAGATGCTTGACAGTACACTGCAACGACTTCTTGGTAAAACTGTCTAAAGTATGTGAGGTTAACCCACACCAGTCTATGGCATGTTTTGTATTATGTCACTGATGAACTTTCGTTTGTTATGTTGAATAGTCTATACTGAGGTGTGTTCTGGAATTTACTGCTTGTATAATCTATTTATTTTATCAACAATCTTTTAAAATCAGCAACTATTTTTCTGTCTTCCCTATTGATGTCTTTTCCATATATTTCAGTCGCTTTTCTGTAAAACTTAGTGACACCTGAATTAAACGCTCTGTAATACGCATCCACGGCGATATTATAATAGTTACTCGTCTTATCGACAATAATTATTTTATCATTTTTTATACATATCTATGGTAATCTTTCATGAGCCGTTAGAAAATTTGTAGAATTTGGTTTTCATTAACTATTGAAGTAAGTCCTTCTTTAATCCCATTAGCTGATCATCTGTTGGAGCAGACAAATTTAATCTGAATCCGTAGTAGGGATGCACCGATAAGCAAATTGGCCGATTACCGATTAATCGGCAAAGTGGCCAATAAGGCCGATTACCTATTACCTGCCGATTAATCGGTGTACCCCTAATCCGTAGTATTCAAATATTTTTAGATCCTAGCTTTCTTTCAGTTTATTAACGGGAAATATCGTCCATATCATCCGTTTGATAATGCTTTCAATATTTTGTAAGAATGTTAAAAGGAAAATTCTTTTGTCAGAAACCATGGTATTTTTGGTAGAATAGTTGAAGTTCACCGGTTCCATCCTCATGCATCGGTATAGAATAAATAAAATATATTTTGTAATATATTCATATTTTTACAATCACTTAATTTTTCATCAATTTATTTATTTTTCTCGTAAATAAATGAACACCTACACTATCTTAACAATAGGTTATAAAAATTGATATACTAGGATTGCCTGATGAATTGGGTAATCATGAAACTCTTAATTGCAATACAAACGTAGGTATATGGGTATTTATTAATATATATATATTTATAGCTTTAACTACATTGAGCATTGTTTCGTTTACACATTAAATTAAATATTGATTTGCTCATCTCTATTTATACGCTATCACACGCGTATACAGTTGCTAACATCTCGTTATTTAGTTTATGTTCACTTATCTATCTATCTATCTATCTATCTATCTATCTATCTATCTATCTATCTAATAATAATAATATAAATAGTTATATTCATTTGGAAAAACCTTAGGTATTTTAGCTTGTAATTGAACAAACCAATGCCCAAGGGAAAATAAGGGATAAAAAAAGAAAGAACTAAGACCATGAAATTGAGGAGAAAACAATCGTCTAGAATTCAAGGTCAGAGTCCAAAGAATAAAACCTCCAAAATGAGTAAGAAAAAAAAAAATTAACTACGTAAAGTGCTCAATACGCTAAGTAGAACAAACTAAAATATGAACCTAAAGAACCAGGTAACCCTGACGATCCGTATAGGTGATACCTGGCTCTTTAGGTTCATATCTATCTATCTATCTATCTATCTATCTATCTATCTATCTATCTATCTATGTGTGTGTATGTGTGTATGTATGTGTGTGTACGTGTGTGTGTGCGTGTTTGCGTATGTGGGCGCACCCGCACACATACACACACGTATCTGCACATTGATTTAATGTTCATTGTCGTTCACATTATATTCAATGGAAGTTTTTTTTTCTAATAGTATTTAATGGAAGTTTTTTTTTCTACTAGTAATCTAGCAGGTGAGCTTATCTCAACGCTTTTCAAATAGGGGGTCTTTAGACAAATACTGTGTTAAAATTTTATATCTATCACGCCCTTCCTTAACACCTCCCTTGACTCCTCGGTCAGCTGGGTCTAATGAATTTGTAAATTCCTACCTTGTGTCAGTGACAGGAGTAATTGTAATTCTAAATTCAAACCCTTTTTTTCTTTCTCAAACAGAATAAACACCTTCCCTATGCATGCCCCCAGCCTAACGCTTATGCTTCTGACACTAACTCAAATGAGGGTAGGGGATTCAACCCCCAGCAACCTTCGTTACGCCCTTCTACCAATGGCTCTTTTAGTCCTTATGTATGCCTTGGTACCCTGTCTCTGGTTGGTACTATGGATCCGACCCAAGTAGGAGTTCTGTTGCCTTGGCCTCAAATATGAAAGCGAACAAAATTAGTAAACCCAACCTAAAAAAAAAGGAAACAAAGTAGACCCCAGGTATACCATCTCCAACACCAATGTAATGGGTCTACGTTCCAACTTTCCAGAAGTGGAACATCATCTTCTTCAGTCTAAACCTGATCCCGGTTCCTGTCTGAAACGGGTATCTGTGCCTCAATACCATTGCAGGAGCTCACAATCCCGGGTTACTCACCCATTATAACAAAATACGACCACCTAAATCGCTATGGACTCGGTGCCTACATCAAAGACGGGGTTCCCTGTACCAGGAACATAAAAATCCTTGCTAACAGGTAGATCCCTGAATGTAGTTATTAAAGAGCAATCTTCCGAAATCCTGGTGTTCAACGTTGGCGTCCCCCACCGGTCACTTCTCAGATTAACCCTCTTTCTGGTTTACATAAATGATCATTTGTAAACATCTATACCTCTAAAATTCTTGACGGTCAGAGATTGTCAGTTGACCTCACTTTCGATCTAATACTAACTTCCCAGTGGGGAAAAAACTGGCTGGTTACATTCAATGCCTCGAAAATATTCCATCACCGTCGACCAGGCCCCAAAATATTGCCAGTCACGATGAACGGATGTCCCCCTCGAGGAAGGCATCGTGCCTTGAGAGAATATTGGGCCTCAGACTCACACTCGACCTCAAGTGGAACTCTTATATACGCTCAATCGCTAAAGATTCAGGTAAAATGATCGGCTCCCTGTACCGCTCCAGGAAGTACTCGACTTCTCATGCTATCGTCTACTTTTAGAAGAGCCAGATCAGATCGAAGATGGAGTATTGTTGCCATATTTTGGCGGGAGCTTACCAGTCTCCACTTTCCACTTTTGATAGAGTTCAAAAGCGTCTCTGAGTCCTTGTTGGAGAAGAAATATTTTCCACCCTCCAACTTCTCTCTCACAGGTGAGATGTGGCGAGTCTCTCATTGAGTTATTTCTACTTCCATGGAAAGTGCTCGGACGAACTAGATTCTTTGGTTCTGCCAAGTCTAACTCTGGTAAGTTTTCGTGTGTGTTTAAAAGGATCCTAACTGAGCTATGATCAGAGAGATGCAACGAGAGTCTTCTCGATATGCATATAATGGTATGTCCAATATAATTATTCATGAATTTGGTTTGATATAAAACATAGTTCCTTAAGAGGCACATATGAATTCATAAATAATATTGGTTCCCTGTAATTTAGATTTTGCAGGTGTGTTGTTAACGTTAACTGTTATAATTTTTTTAGTAGATAATTTAATTTTATTGTTCTAGTCGACTGGTGTTGTGTTATTTTTCTAAAGAAAATCCATCTTGTTCATAGTTAATGTGTATTTGGCTTTTATAGAAAATGTTGATATTATTTTTATTTTGTATGTTAAATATTACTACTGGTTACTTTAAAAAATAAACTTATCTGGTGATCGATGAGGTAGTTCGGAAAAACGTTAAATAGCGTCTGTTTCAAGGAAAAGGGTACGAGGGAATGAATTCTCATGTGCTGTCTTAAATAAAAAAATTTATAACGCCTATTTTATATCTAAGAAAATTAAGGTTGACAAGAGTTTTTACTACTGTTTTTTTTTTTTTTTTTAATAACGAAGTAGTGAATGTATTACTAATGAATTGTTCGAGAACGTTAAAAGGTAGGATTTATTTTTTTTGACTAAGTTTATAGGTGAAGTTAAGGGTAGAGTATTTTCAAATGTGGTTTTGTGATTATCAAATTTTTAAAACAAAAAATATCGTCTACATAGCGGACATATATTGTGGGATTAGTAACCTTTTTAAATATATTGTTTTCTACGTGGGACATGTAGCAGTTAGAGAAGCATGGGCCAAATGGACACGATCACAATGTGTTCACCATGTTTGGAAATTAAAACATTCCCATAACTTGTTTGCTTGTTTAATGGCATATCAACTTCTAATGGGTCATTTAATAACGAAATTTTATTGTCTTGTGAGCACTGGTAATTTTTAAAATAATATATCAACTTCTAATGGGTCATTTAATACCGAAATTTTATTGTCTGGTAATTTTTAAAAAAAATATATTGCTTTTATTTTTTTTCAATAATGTATTACCGGCAATTTTTATTTTTATTTTTGTACTATGAAAATATGTTGCTGGTAATTTTTTCTGCTGTATTTTTATATTTTCATGCTTTGACCTCAGTTTGGGGGTTCATTATTTTCCCATAGCTGGGATCCTAACAGGTGCTACCACCGCGGGTCAGGGTGTACTTGGGAGCAACAGTAATTAAGATGTGTTTCCATGCTCTTCAAAACCGCCTGCTGCTGGATGTAGTTTATCGTCATACCCAGGATAATCCTATAACTCTTGATACACACATAAAAAAACTCCATACATTCAGTTAAAAATAAATATAATAATGGCTAAAAGAATAGACGAAAGCACTCGGATAAATAAAATTAAATAAAAAGCTTGTACCTTGTCGGTCGTCTTTAATGAAACTGATATATATATATATATATATTAATGTTCACCTAATACAAGTATCAGGAGCCACTCAAGGTAGAGAGCTACTGTGTGTGGTTATATTAGCATAGAAAAGAACAAGCGTTAGGAGTATAGAGCTGAGATAGACGTTAGAAGGAACCTCAACAAGAAACAAGGGATAAACAAGGGATAAACCTCTACTCCTGTTCAAAATATCGGAGAGGAGTGTGAACAGAACGATAAGTGAACCTATCTACTCCTATTGATGCAGGAGAGAAAATAAAATGAAATAAATAAATAATGAATAAAATTTCAAAGTTCAGGCGCAGACGTTAGGAGGAATAAAGAGCTTGTTGTCGACTGGTAATAAAATTGGACCATTTGTAGATGTCTGTAATTAACATGACCACATGATTTTATATTTAACGTAAAATATCACAAAATATGGAACAGCAAAAAGGAATTAAATGGTTTTATCATAACAAACATTTATATTTATTTTCGTGCAATGATATACATGCGTAGAAGTTAATATTTTGTTGGTGTTACGTCCCTTTGACTGATTTGATTTTTTTATCTGAGCTCACAAAAGTTGAATGAATTATAAAGCTGAAAAGTTCTTGTTGCTTGTTTGAAATGTTCTATATGTTTGTAATGTAGTTTAGAAATTTTCGTACGTACACGCATGCGTGAATATTCTTTTAACGCCTGACCGCCACGTGGTCGAGACGGGATTCTTTAATGTTACATCTCCATAGGGAAATGAAGAAACGAGAGAGAGGGGGGGGGAGAATGAGCAAGCTCGCGTCTACTATTTATAATTAATGTAATCACGTGACAGGATCACGGAAGATGGCGGGAAAACTTGACTTGGTCACGCGCTGGAAACGTGGGTGGATTGCAACGCCCATTTGTGTGTTTATTGACCAATTAGAAGCTGATATTTCCTGAAAATCTGTATGAAGCTGAATAAACTTTTGATAAAATTCAACATTGATACGAAAGTGGTAGCGGGATGCTAAAAGCTGATGCAGACTTTAGAAGGAACCAGAAACTCAATCCTAAACAGGAAACAAGGTATAAACCTGTAGTCCATTTTAAAAACAGGAAAGGGGTGTGATGTGCATAAGACCTGAAGTTCTCCCAAATATTTGATATTAACATTTTGTCAGACGATCAGAAAGTCTCTAACACATATGAATTAATCGCCGATTGAATAATACAGCCGTATTAATTAATTGCATATTTCCGAGCAGCATTTGAGCCGAAGTAAAAACCTGGATTTCAAACGCTGACTTACGAAAAAGCGAACAAGGCTATTCCATTTGGAATACTGGCACAGCACAATCTTATATTACCTTTCATTTACCTTTATCATACTAATGTAGTGGAAAGTTTGGTGGTTACCATTTATTTAATGGTGTTGACGACCCAAATCAATCCATACTATTTTTTACTCTACAAATATGTTAAGCAAAATGCAAAAACAAGAGAAAACAACAAGAAACATTTGTGATAAAAGACAAAAGGCAAATGTAGTTTAAATTCGAGAGACTGTCTTAGAATTCCTTAGTAGACGTTAAATACTGAGTGACAAAATGTAGATGTTGTATTTGTCGTATTGTTTTGCTGTTTGTAGACTAACTTCCTCTTCTCTCAACGTCTTTCGTACACTTCATATTTTTAGCTTTTTTTGTAGACTAACTTACTCTTAGTCTTCTCTCACCGTCTTTCGTACACTCCATCTTTTTTCTTCTCAACTCACGTCACATGAACGCCGTGATTCTGCGTTAATTTTTTTTTGCCAGCTTAAAAACAATATATAGCTTCCACACGAGACTCTTCTTACGTACAGACGCCAAGGAGATCAATTCTTTTTTTTTTTTGTTGTTTTTTTAACTACACGCTCCCCTGATCTCATGATCACATCTCACGTTATATAATCATCCTTCCATCTGGGCGAGTGTCGCTCTCTTTGCGATTTCCGCAGTGTTTGGGGCTGAGCCTCATGAGAACTTCTCCAATTGTCTCCTTCATTCTCTAAATCCTCTTGAATCACTCTTAGGTCAAGAATATGCTTTGGCATACCGTCCACCTCAACATTGTTGCGCGACTGTGCCCCGGTAACCATTCCTCTTGTCTATTTTGTCGTGCAGCGGGCTCCAGCTGGCTTGACCCAAACCTCCTCTTCAATCCGTATAGATTCAGGGCCGTCAGAGCGTGTTAAACATGATCCAACTCTAGGATGTCTCCATTGGTATGTGTAAACTGCTCTGTGCGGCACAGTGTCTTCACGTTGGCCAGATTTAGGTGACATATTATACCAAAATACTGCTTCTGTAGGCGATATCCCATTGTCCATGAGTACCTCTTCAACTGGCCCACGCTCGAAAAAAAATTCCTCCAGCTCCTTCGCAATGATGTCTGCCGTTACTGCTCGAATCTCCCTCCAAATGGCGAACCGGCCAGGGCCACAATCTACTATAGTCAAATACGTTTCACCTCTATAATGCGTCACAACGATCGCAGCTTCTAATCACCTTCTGTACAGTATCTCTTGACACCTCCGGGTAGACTTTCCGTACTAGATATAGTATTCTGTCCACTCCTACATGATGCAGTCCGTGCAACTCCTTGACCGCATCACGGCCTGCACGGCACGTTGCTGTAATAGCTTTCTCTACTTTCAGCCAACTCTTTTTCACTCTGGTTAGAGCATCGGCCTTATTTCTGTCAGAGGGCACGAACGTTACACTCAATTTTAAGTTAAATTCATCAATCATTTCCCTCAGAATCCCCAAACGTCGCATGATAATTAGCTCTACCGCTCCTTTTGTACGGATCCTTTTTTCGTCTGTTATCGTAAGACTGATCCAACTGCGGACAGTTCGAATTTCAATCTCTTTTAGACCCCATTTCAATGCGAGGTTTACACCCTTTATCGTAGCATCCAACTCAGCAACGTTGATATGGTTGTAGTCACGATTCTTTCTTAACTACGCCGCATCTTCGACTATCACACCATCGATATCAATACATACACCAGTGGCCATACTGCTTGCGTCGCACCATACAACACCCTTTTCCAATTTGGGAACATTCCATCTCCCTCGAACCGGATCGTGGTGTCGAACTTCTTCCACAACTTCCCGTACCACACCGGTTGTTTCACTATCCACTATGACTTCCCAATCAATTTCTTCTGCTCTTCTCTTCAAATAACTGCAGGCGATTCTAAGCCATCCAGCTATTGGGTAGTGGCCCACCATTTTTCCGCAGGCAGAGAACAGTTCACGTCTGCTCATGCACCTCAGGCAGGTCATTCCCTCTCGCAAATACCAGATCTCCTGCTTTATCCGTATGAAGCCGAAGACCCAACGCTGCTCCTCCTTCTAATGATTCTGGTGGCTTTGCTGTTAAGCCAAAGTTGTTAAGATGATTTACAAGGTCTGCCGCTGGTACCACTGTTTCATCCACTAGTATATCGTCAATATACGAATCCATGTTTTTTTTCCGATGTGTTCCTCTTTTGTTAGCACATTTTTTAGGATTTTTGACATAATCTTCGGGGCTACATTTAGTCCGAAACCCAACCTCGTTAAACAATAGGTCTGTCCCTCGTACCGAACTAACTGGTACTTCCACAGATGTCTCGTGACATGGATTTGCAAATATGCGGACCTTAGATCAACAATTTTTGATGCCGTTGTCATTTGCCTCCACTTCCTCATTGTTTCTCCACAAACGTCAATTGCATCCCCCACCAAAATGACACATAATGTATTTATTTAGTTCTCGGTAATCGAGAACTGGCCTGACCTTGTTTTTTTGTGGGTTGTTCCACCGCCATTAAGGGTAGCACTCCCGTCTGAACATCCTGGTCCCACGGGGTTAAGATTCCTTTCTCAATCCACCGTTTAACTTCACTGTCGAACTCGACCTTCTTCTCCTTACTCACTTTAGCATGATAGTGACTAACGTTGTTTTTTAATATCGGGGGTTCTGAAATCCATTTCCATTCCACGGTCCACTTCTTTCCATCAAATCTTGCACCAAAGTCCTTATCTAACACTTCGCATTGCATTTTTTTTTTTTTGCTACTCTTGCTGTTTGGTTGTATGTTCATAGCACAATCTCCTCCTCTGAACTCCACGTTACCATTTCCGTAGACGGTAACCCCTCCAAGCTGGCGGATAACATCCATGCCCACAATGACGTCAACACCATCGTTGACCTTTTCCATCACAATTGCCTCGATTCTCAGTAACCATCCACATACCTCCAACGTCACTGTGCTGATCCCTCTACACACAACCTCCCGTCCATCCACTGCTCTTACAGTACTTGTACTCCTACAATCAGTCGAAAGACCCGACCGGATTAATGTTGCGGTGCTGCCAGTATCAATTAGGGCCTTAGTTCTCATGCCTTCTATCAGCGCTTCTATTGTTGGTAGTGTTCTGGCTTGCGCCATTGCTGATTTGAAGGGGTAACCGCCGGCGCACCAGTTGCCTCCTGTTCTTTTCCCTGTGGACAGGGAATGTCCCTGCTCGCCGCATCCATAACAGGTCACCTTGATTGGTTCTCTACAGTCTCTCAACAAGTGAGGACCCTTGCAGTTATAACATTTGCCACTAAACGGTTTGATCATTCTTGGTCTTCCATCACGCTGTTTAGGTTCTCGTTCTGCGACCGCTACTACTTCTGGTCTCCGAGTGGCTGTAAGCACCCTGGCAGTTGAAATTATTTCACTCAGTTCTAGTTTCTCCACATTTGGCAACTGCTGTAGTGGCACCGAAATACTTTCCGGAAATCCATTGACAAACGTGAGCTTCACGATCTGCTCTTGTCCACTTCCTTCAAACCCTGCTAATTCTGCCAGTCGTTGCATTTTCGTTGCATACACATCAACGGCTTCGCCGCTCCATCGCGTCTTCACTAGCTTTGCATATGCAGAAAAGTTTCACGCGCTGAAATCGAAATTGCGCCAAAACCTTTTGAGCCAACTTTGGACCTTCGAAAACTTATATAAAGGAAAAACCGACTGACCAAAATCAGTCAGTAACAGCACCACAGAGAATTGCTAACTTACTCCACGTCAATCGAAACCAGACTTTGCCGCCAAAAAAAAACAAAAAAAAAACACCTCAACGCTGACTCGCTAACATTTCAACTCTACCAATTCTGTGGACATTATTTCCTAGATATTGCTTACCTAAAGTAAATTACATTTACTATCTATTAAGTAAACATCTACATGTGAACGACCTTAAAAATATTACAGTGAAAGGTAAATTACTTCTTAAGAACTTTCTGAACTCTTACAAGAAAGACATTCTGAAACTTAAAACATCATACACATTTGCCAACATAATACATACCTATATTCTATTTGTACATCATTTTGAATTGTATATAAATGTTTTATCAGTTTCTAATATAATATGTCTTATTCGTAATATGAACGCTGGTACAAATATTTCAAGTTAAAGGGACACGACTCTGTCCTATCCTTGTGTGCATGTTGTACGTCAACCTAAATAAATTTATTGTTACGTTATAAAACAATTCAGTTGAATTTTGTATTTTATTTTGATGTTAGTGGAAATAGTTAATTGACACGCAACCTATTCTCAACAAATATTACCACACAATTAACCCATCCACTACATAAATGATGACCCGACGTTCATAAAAAAAAAACCGTCACCAACATTTTTGGTGATCCGACGTTCAAAAAAAAAAACAAAAAAAAAACTCGTCATCAACATAAATAGTTACCCGACGTGCGAATTACGTTTTTCATAACTCCGACGAATGTACAACAATTGATAATATCGACCTACCTTCTACAATTTTTGGTGACCTGAAGTTCAAACAATATAAAGGCACATTTGAAAACCAACTAAAAATTAAGCGCCGGAATTTATACAAGTTCTTATTTTTCAAGCATGGCTGAAACACACACAGAGGCGGCAATATCTATCAACCTCCCAACGTACAACAAAACTAACGTGCAAGTGTAGTTCGCCCAATTGAATGCTATTTTTAGTGCCAAAAAGATAACATCTCAAAATTCTCGTTTCGCCCTTTTAGTCGAGAAGCTGCCCACTAATGTAGCAATTGAAGTTTCGGACCTACTCAGTGAAACCTGCCGATAAGCCATACGATGTGTTAAAAGAGGCTATTATTCACCGCACAGGCGAATCGGAGGAGAGACGGCTGCACGATCTGTTCAATAACTTACATCTATGACAAAATAAGCCTTCCCAACTGTTAAGGAAAATGAGAGCATTGCTGGGAGGGAACACGATGTCCGACACTATTTTGCGCAAATTGTGGATGGATAAATTACAAGTGCAGACCACACAAATTCTAGCTTCGTTACCAGACGACATTGAGCTTCAGAAGCTAACGGAAATAGCCGACAAGGTCGTCGACAATCAACCACCATCTACTATTTTTAATACTAAATCGTCACCTAGTGTAGCATCTATCAATCAGTCGGATAAAGTACAAGACTTAAAAAAAGAAATATCGGAGCTCACATCACAATTACAAGGGCTAAAGAAAACCCTATTTTATAGTGATCGCTCCAGACATTCGTCGCGCCAAAACGGTTATTAACGCAGATCGAACTCGGCACCCAGACATAGACAGCAGCAGCAGCATCGCTATGATACCTGCTGGTATCAATACAAATTTGGTGAACAGGCGCGATACTGCATTCGACCGTGCAAACACAGTGCAAACCTTGTAAACAACTGTCCCAAACGACAAGCGGGAAACGACAATCCCGGCAGCACGTGAGGACGGCGTCCGCTGCTTGGGAAACTATGCAAAACCGTCTATTCTATATTAATGATAAAAATTCAGGATACCTTTTCCTAATTGACACCGGAGCCCAAGTCAGTGTCATACCACCCAAGCCTGGCATGACAGCCAAACAAGCTAATTTTAATTTACAAGCCGCAAACGGATCTCGCATCGAAACCTTCGGTGAAACTTCTCTAACGTTGGATCTTGGCTTGCGTAGATCATTCTCTTGGCTTTTTACAGTTGCACAGATTAATACGCCTATTTTAGGGGCAGACTTCTTATCCCATTTTCATTTAAGCGTTGATATGGCATCTAGATCTCTCATAGATCAAACTACGGAATTTTCAGTCAGAGGAATAACGTTTAGACTCTCGTCTACAGGCATTAGTACAGCCTTGCCTGCCGCTAATGGCTTACACAATCTACTGCAGAAGTACCCAGAAATTATAACACCCTTCACATACACTGAGCCAATTAAACACAGCGCAGAACATAAAATACAAACGACTGGACCCCTGTATTTTCAAAACCACGCCGACTACATCCAGAGAAATATAAACTGGCGAAAGCTGAATTTCAACACATGTTGAACTTAGGGATTATTCGCCCTTCATCCAGCCCATACGCGTCCCCGCTGCACATGGTGCCTAAAAATCAAGCGGGAACTTGGAGACCGTGTGGAGATTTTAGAAGACTTAATTCTCAAACTGTCCCGGA